ATGGCCAAGCTGGGAATCGAACCCTGGTCTCCAGAGTCCTAGTCCAAGATTGAAACAAACACTCAAACCACTGTGCCACACTGGCTCTCAACATTTACACATGCATTGAGTTAAATATTGAATGTACGTAAGCTGTTCTAATTTTGAACAATGTTTTGTTGTGGTTGTGTGCCTTCAAGTTGTTTTTGACTTATGGCGACCATAAGGCAAACCTATCATGAGGTTTTCTTGGCAAGTTTCTTCAGAGGGGTTTGCCATTAGTATCCTTTGAGTCTGAGAGCATGTGACATCCAGTGGGTTTCCATGGCCAAAAAGGGACTCAAACCCTGGGCTCCAAAGTCCTAGTCCAACACTCAAAGCACTACATCAAGCTGACTGTCCTTAAACAATGTTATCTCCTTATACAGTTGACCTTCTGTATCCATGGATTCAAGCATCCACAGCTTGAAAATATTAAAAGAACCCCATACAATCCAAATAGCAAACCTTGATTTTACCATTTTATATAAGGGACACCATTTTACTATGCCACTGTATTTAATGGGACTTGTGCATCCAGAGATTTTGGTATCCATGAGGGGTCCTGGAACCAAACCCCAGCAGATAACAAGTGCCCACTGTAAAATGTGAAAATAAGAATATACAGGAATGTGTGAATACACAAAATATTTTTATTCATATGCAATGTCAAGCGAGGAGGGCTCAACGTCTGCATATAGATGTAAAGGGGTGCCCCATGGGTAAAAGGTTTGAATACCACTGTGTAACATGATCTTCCTCTTTTTCTACTACCTTCCACTTTACTGAGCATTATCACCTTTTCAAGTGTGTTACATTATCTCATGATGCATCCAAAGTCCGCTAGACTCAGTTCAGTCATTTTGGCTTCTAGGGAGAGTTCAGGCTTTATTTGCTCTCAGATCCATTTGTTTGCCTTTTAGAAAGTTATGGTATCCAAAGAATGCTCCTCCAGCACCATATATAATTATTTGATCCCCCCCTCCCCATTAGCTTTCTTCACTGTCCATATTTCACAGTATACATGAGATCTAAGATACGCTGGCTAGAAAGTACATTTGATTATTATCTTCTGCATCTGAGGGGGGTTGCAGACTGCCAGAAATAGTGCAAATTGAGTCCACTTTTAGGGTTAGGGTTAGGGTTAGGAAATCATTGCAACTGTATTTTATTGTGGCACCAGAGCTCTCTGACAGAGAAGGCTCAATGTCTCAGAAAAAAAACCAACTCCCATGATTCCCTAGCACTAACCCTAACCCTAAAAGTGGACTCAATTTGCACTACTATTTCTGGCAGTCTGCAACCCCCCTTAGTCTGTGTTAATGTGTTTCTATGTCAGAGGAACTGACTACGTTCCTTAGAAGATTAAGAATGGGGAGAGTGGCTATGAAAGAACTAGAAAAGATTCTATAAAGCCAAGATATACAACTGAGCACAAAAGTTAGAATCATACAAGCCATTGAATTCCCTATTACACCATGTATGGATATGAGAGCTGAACAGTTAAGAAAGATGATAGGAAG